AAAAATTAGCCGGGCGTGGTGGTGGGCGCCTGTGGTCCCAGCTACTCGGGAGGCTGATGGAGGAGAATGGTGGGAACCTGGGAGGCAGAGCTTGCAGTGAGCCGAGATCACACCACTGCGCTCCAGCCAGGCGTCAGAGCGAGACTCCATCTCAAAAACACCTAAAATTTAATAACCCTCCTGAATCTCATGCAGCGCTAGAGAGAACGTGAAGAGTTCGATGTGGCTGATGAGAATGGCTGTCAGCCCTGCAGTAAACAATTCTGTAACACTTGGAATGCAGAGTCCCAGGTGCCGAAGGGCTGAGCCCATGAGGAACAGGGGCACGATCAGATCCAGGCCTCACAACTGCTCCCTGATTCCTGTCCCCCACTCCCATCCAGCTCATCCACCGCAGGGTGCTGCCCAAAAACACACGAGCCGCAGCAGTCGGCCTCCATGACAGCCTCCTCATCACGTTGAGCCACAAACCCACCCTGTCACTGGCCCTTCACAGGCTCTGCCTCTCCAACGAGGCTTCCAGTTCCCAAGACCAAATGTCTGCTGGTTGTTTCTACCTGTTACTCTTCCGTGATAAGCAAGCAAACATTCAACTCGAGATTTAAGTACGTAATTCTAACATTCTGAACCCAGCTGGAAGGCGCCTGGGAGAGAGTCCCAGTCTCCGCAGGATCCGCCGGACCCAGCACTGCTCCGTTCACTTGTCCTCTCCTCTCCCCCTCCAGCCATGCACAGGCCTGACCTCCACCCCACCACCCCTGGGCCTTCGCCCCGTCTCTTCCCTGGTGGAACTCCTTCCACTGATCTGTTCCTGGCTGCTTTCCCATCGATTTCACGATGTGAACACAGGTAACACCTACTCAGCAAGGCCTTCCCTGACTCCCTGCCCAGGCCTAGTTTCATTGGCAGGAAAAGCCTCCTACCAGCCTTGTTCCCACGGGTAGTAAATTTACACAGCCCTTTAAAGTTGACAAAGCTTTCTGACCAAATTATCTACCATGGGAGTGGCCTGGTGACAAACACAGGATCCTACAGAGGGGACGCTGACGCTTACAGAGGCCGAGGAAGGCTCCAAAGTCCGTCAGGTCCACACAGCACGCACCTCAAGCGTGGAGGGCAAACCTCCTAACAGGTGTGCCCAACTCCGACTAGTGTGTGATCAGAATACGCCCCCATCCTACTGTGGCGAATGAAGACTCCCCATCACGCAGGTCAGACGCTGCAGCCCAAACGTGCACCTGCTACACCCTG